TCCCCATGGTACACAAACAATTACACACTGCACAATGACCTCCGCATCCCTACAATCCAAGAAGTCATCAAAACAAAAACTGCCAGTCACATACAAAACATAGATCACTCAAATCCACTACTCAGCCAAATACTACAACCAGTCAACAGGAGACTCAAGAGACAGTGGCCAACAGATAATAATTGAAAACTCTGAGGTAACATCGCTGGACGTTAACCTCAACACAGCTCAGCTGTAGCTAGGATACCTAGCACGGATCAACACATTAGCTTATAGAATGCACTGTATTCTGATTGCTGATCATGTATTATTAAAAAAAATCCCCCCTCCCTCGGATACAAATATTCTCCTCCAGCCCTTGTTCTCACCCTCAGCATATTTCTCCCAGATAAGCATACCCTCCGAAATAACAGGTTACACACTGAAATACATTTAACTCGAAAACCCTAGCCATCTTGTAAGGGGAAAAACTCGAATTATAGAATGATGAAGAGTGGCCTGAACGTAAAGTGCAAAATTTGGTCGCTTGATGGCACTACCAACAGTGGAGCCGGGTGCTCAGGGTTAGAGGAAGGGGCGGGAGAGAAATAGTTGCGAGCGTTCGCGGCGCCGGGCGAGCTCAGTGGGTTGAGTGTTGCCTACCGGGGCAAGGGTAGTAGTGAGACCAGCAACAGCTCCAGCAGGGGAAACTGTGCAAAAACAAAAACAAAGAATAAAAAGTAATAAACGGAGGAACTTCTTTCAGTTCCCATCCACTGACTCGACATTATAACTGCCTTTGTATTCAACTCGGCTGTCCGATAGGCAAATTATTCAGTGAGAGAAAGGACCGCATTTTTTTCATTTGACCGCCAAATGTTAATGTAATGGTTAATTGAAACACAACCATAAGGGTTATTAGCAGTGGCCGGTACAGAAAAAAGAACTTTAGTTATATACATATTTTTATTGTTGTACTAATCATATGCGAAGCTGTGAATATTTAATAATTTATTTAAGTAAAATAATAAATATATATTACACTATTTTTTGTAATAAGGACTCGCAGGGAAGTGATTGAGTTGTGCCAATGATGGTTTAATCACTGTTATCAGTCAATTATTTTAACACTAATCAAGTGTGACAGTTTTAATCTTCACCCAACGCAACCGCCTGAGTAACAAACAACACTACAGTGAAGGTACATGCATCTCTTTATTTTACTTTAAAAATGACACATTGAACCACATTCTAAGTTAACGCTTTCATCACTGCCAATAAGGAAGGTCACACGCAAACTAAACCTTCCAGAAATTGAACGACGTTAAGGTCCAGTTTATGAATACATTCCTGTATAGTGTTTTATTATTTTATTTTTAAAACCAGATTAAAAAAGAACAAGAGTAACATTACGTTGAAATCGCGATTTCCTCTGTGAAATTGGAACTCTTTGTTCAAAAATAAATTTGAAATTTACTCTTAAATACGTGTGTTTGTGCGAAGAATTGACTCAGGACCTGTTTACCCGAAACAGCGTTACAATTCACATTGCGATCCGCTGAGGTGTAAAGGTGAGTACAATGTTCTTTCTTTTTCCAATATTAAGAATCAAGTATGGAAAGCCTTCGGTTCTAATATCATTTCATAAATCTTGGGCCTCTTCATTGAATACTAATCCCTTTAGAGTTATTTTTAAACCTCCCCAAAGCGTTAAATTCCAAACTAACTCAGTGGAAGAGGTGTCCTCTATGACAAACTGAGAGTACCCCACCTGATCTGGGAGTTCCCACCGAAATTTCTTCAGATATTTCCTAATCTACCACCACTAGACACTATCTTAAACCAGTTAAATATGAGTAGTTACTATAGGATTCTGACGATGGTGTATAACACACTGATATATTGGGTTTTTGGACTTTATCCATCGTCCTGGTTTTTAAGATAACTAATAAGGACGGAAACAGATCCAGTTTCCGAAACGTCGTGTTTTTATTAGTTATCTTAAAAACCAGGACGATGGATAAAGTAAAAAACCCAATATATCAGTCAGTTAAATATGGCTTTAATCTTCACGCCCCGTCCCTTTATGACCCATTTTAATATTACCGTCCCATCTATGCCTACGACGGATAAGAGGTCTTTTCCTTGAAGACAAAGTACACAACTAACACCTTGTCTATCTTCAGCAATATTTATATGACGCCGCCGCAGACTTTTAGATATAAGCAAGTTTCTGAACCTCTATAATGTGACAATCTCACATCAGAAGGAATTTATTGTATAGTTGTTTGAAAGACAGTTATTTTTCCTTCAGGTTACAAAATGTTGAACTTCGTGGTTTACATATTAATACATTTAAAGATCATTTATTAAGTTGAAGTTTTTTATTGCTAGTGGGGTGGGACTAAATCCCTCGTACTGCGGCCACTTCTGGCCTATTGTACCAGCCCCAGATGATAGGTGAGGGTGATTGTGGAACAATTGAGGGAATGAAGATTGGCAGGGGAAACCGAAGTACTCGGAGAAAACCTGTCCCAGCGCCACTTTTTCCACCACAAATCCCACTTGACCAGACCCGGGATCGAACGCGGGCCGCCGCCGTGGAAAGCCAGCGACTAACCGCTTGAACTATGGCTCGGCGATAAGTTGAAGTTAATATTAATTTTATTAATAGTGCTTCACAGTAACACATGTCATTTTGGCTGCAGTATGAGCATTATATCCAAGATGAATAAATAGCCCATTTTCCTAAACATTCCTTATTTTTAGTCCAACTGTTAGTATACAGCTTATTTCTGAATGCCACAGACAGTAAATTATATATCAGTGTTGAACAAAAATCTGTATAAAATTTACATTTAAAATTTCAGGTGTAATGTATAGTATTTGTTACATAATGCTAATATTTTGCTACTTTTACGGAAAGATTGACAAAATTATCTAATGTCCGTCAATTTTGTAAATGAATTTGAAATAATGACAATTCCACTTGAAAGAATGTGTTGCCATAAATATATATATAATACATTTACACGTATTGCGTATCTATGTGTATAAATGACTAGCCCCAAAATTCTGCATCGTCTTTAATAAACTGCGTGCACTGTCTATATAGTAACAATAGGATATGATGATTAGTGCCTTCTGGTATGTGACGTCATATATTTCGGTATACCTTTACCAAGGTTTCGGAGAAAATTTCTGCCTCCTTCTTCAACTGAAGATATGTTATGGTCTAGATTGTGACAGCGTCGTAAAATAAGTGAACAGCATGGAGATGGAAGTAATAAATTCCTCCAAATCGTCGTTAATCATTTACGAAACTACACGGCGTTACGTCTTACAGAAGAACAATCTTCGCAGTCATCGCCATGAAAACCTCAAATCTCAAACAAATTCATGAATAGCTGCTTCTAACTAACATAGATACCCTACGCAATTTCGAGTCCAAAATATGTATTTATTATACCGTTATTCCAGATAAATATACTCGTATTTTGTAAAATATTAAAAAATATTCAATACAAAATTTCTCACTTAAAAGTTATAGTAGGAAAACTATTGTAATCTCGCGGAATCCCTGGTCAGGCTTCATGGAAACCTAGGGGCCAGCGGACCACACATTTAGAAACATTAATGTATTTTAGATTAGTAGGATAAACTATGAAAGTTTCACGTCACTATGTATGGAACTGTTGACTTACGAACAATGTTTTCTAAACGATGTATAGGTTTGTTATGATCTATCCTCATACAAAGTTTTCTAGCTCAAGTGGTTCGTTAGTCAGAGCCATAAAACCGAAAAGTGAAAGAAAATTTCGCGCGGCTGCTATGTTACTATTTCACGTTCTGCAAAAAAAAATTACGTTAATAAAAGTTGCAGAATTTTCGAAGATCTACTGATATTATCATACATTGCTTCAGGACTCTGAAATTAAGAGGCATAGCGTAGTATCCACCTCAGAGGTCCGCTTATTCGTTTGGTATTATCACTGGTCTTACGAAATTAAAGAATTTGATATTGGTGTCTGGAACGGGGTTCACTCAGCCTCGCGAGGATAATTGAGAAGCTATTTCAAGGAAACAGCGGCTCCGGTCTAGAAAACTGAAAATAACAGCCGTGGGAATTCGCTGCGCTTGCCACGCTACACCCTTTATCCTCTAAATTTGGCACTAACTTCGTCAACAAGCGCTGTTCGCTCGGTCAGTATAGTTCACTTGCGGACTAAAGCCACAGAATTTGATATTGGTGTAGCTTCCAGTGTCATACAATTCAAAATAATTTTAGCATAAATCGGTTAATTGGTTGATATGTTGAAACTGAGAACACACACGAACACATACCCTCCAGAGATAAGGTTATCTCATAAGGCTATTCGTTTTCTTAAGGGATGAATGTAGCAAGAGTACGTACTCAGTCTCCAGAGGCTCGTGCCTCAGTGTAACTCTGAACGCAGATGGAATGACATCTAAGGCGTGGTGTCTGTTGGGTATACATTACCGATAACTAGCAAATTATACGGAGGAAAAGTACTTCTTAAGAAGCTGATGGTTACTCAGATGGCTAAGAATTTCCTTACCGTTTTAGGGAACCCGAAGATACTTTACTGTCATAAGAGCCCATAACAGATCACCATCCTAAGCCATATTAATCCAATCCACATCATCATGTAATATTCACTTAACATCTATTTTAACCGATTTTGAAAAAAAAAAATAAAACCAGGCTTACATGATCACCTTCCTGTGTGTCAATGTGTCTTATCTTGTGTGTCTATGTACCCCTCTTAATTCTTTAAAGGGTCAGGTAGGGCGAATTACTGCTGGCCCTCTCTGGTACAGTGAACCTTGGTTTTGAGGTTCCGTCGGAGCCCATGATCATATTTGTTCTTCTTTACAAGATTTATACATGTTTTGAAACGGGAATTCCTCTTCGACGAGTGGAGCAGGTCTGACTATTACAGGTCACGGCCAATGACAGTTGAACTCATCGTTTTATATGCGGTCCATGTCATATCAGAATAAGGTAGGCAATTATCCTTCCATGTTTGGACGTCCCAAACTATATCTTCCATTCAGGATTTCTGTCTGAATTTTATACACATTTCTTGTGTGTCCCTTAGTGTTACATACTGTAGTTATGAACCTTGGTTTCCATAAAGATGCCGAATTCTTTTTATTAGCTGAGCAACTATTGACTTTTCGGGAGTTAATTTTGGTTACGAAAGGGAGATAAAGAGACAGGTCAGAAACTACTGTGAATACAACGATAACTGATTCTAGTCAAAGATGGAATAGGAAGTTGACTGATAAGTTCTGATCGTTAACGTTTTATAGGTTGCCTTGTAGGATCGAAGTCAGAGAAGGTGGACACCAGCGTTAACGAGCTCCGGAGTAGAAGTTTCTTAAATAACTACCCTTATTTATATTTTTATGTTAATCTTCCTATACAGATATTAACATTAAACAAAAACTAGTCCCCATGGTCCTTGTCAAAACAACGGTCTTCTCATCCAATTAGCTGTAACCATGGACCGGTAACTGTTGCTGCGTACCATAAGATTTGTTACGAGTGAAAGTTCCATATTTGCCATTGCATTACATATTTTTAACCTCGAGGTTAAAATTAATTGTGAAAATACAAGCAACAAGAAGTTCTGGGAAGAAGTAATCATTGGTTATCCTTCGATACGATACAGACAGAATAGAAAACGACGCGTCCAACACGTCTTCTAATGTTGCGTGTGTATTCGGTGCCACAGTAATGTTTTTACCGAGCCGTTGCCTGGCAACGATAAAGAGATACAAAGTTGATACAGGGGATACACAGACGCCCAAAGACCATAGGGATTTCATAAGCCTACTATTATTTTTTCGAAGTAAGAAAAGTAAACTAAATGTATAACTCTTACATTTTAAAGTTGTTTGTGACATTTACTAAACAACGAACTATATAGTCACGTGTTGGTATGTCACGCGACAAGTAATTTCACGCCTTATTTCATATAGCGAATTTATTGAACACTCGCTCTCACAATCACACAATTTACAATTCCCCAACTACTGTCATCGGCAGTATCACAAATTCTTCTCCTGTAGTCACTGCCATGCACTCGATACAACCCGACTAGGCGACTGCCACAATTCAACTAACTGGTTAATCGTTTTTCACTAATAACTCACTGCTCACCCGTAACTGGC